GGTAACAGATGGCTATGGTAATAACGACTTTCCTGAGGATTACTAAACTTGTGGTAAACCAATTGACGTCCCTGTGATATGGAGCTTCCGTGAGAGATTTTTCTTTATACTTCCGCTACAGTTATGTGAAGACTCTGTCTTATTATACGTGATGTAATAAACACTTGTGATGATACTATCTATAATGTGTTGGCTATGGTAAACACTTGTTGCTACACTTGTGACTCTGTCTTATTATAAGATTATGCATCCAATTTTACCCTTAAAATCAGGTGTGACAGATTGGTATTAGAGCCAGGTTGATTGTAGGACACAAGCCTAGTTAGTAATGATCATTTTAGTCTCTTTTGCTTCCCTCATTTCATGCTTACTATTCTAACTAAATTTTACGCTTCTTTTGCCTCACTCTGTTATGAAAATTATTGCTAAATTTTACGCTTCTTTTGCCTCACTCAGTTATGAAAATTATTGCTTCTATTCTAACTAAATCTAATTTTGTAGATGCCTCATGCCCATAAGACCACCCATATCAGCATAGGAGGCTACTACCCTCCTCATGGCTTGTATGATCCCATGGAGCCACATGAGGAGGAACCTTAGGAGCAGGAAGTCGACTCGCCAGCACCTGCACCTACACCTACGCCTGAGCCACCCTAGGAAGAACCTGAAGTAGAGGTCATTGTATTGTCTGATGATGATGAGGAGGACACCATTTAAGAAGATCAGCCTACTGCTGCTATAGGATGGACTACAAAGATCTGGTACAAGCCAGGGTGTGAATCCTCGGTTTCGCACCACCAACTTATGGGGATTGTTAAGACCTAAAATGCTGATTGGGACACAGCTATAGAGTATGTCTACGAAGAATATACGCACCCTCTGGAGGACACTTATTGGAAAACTAGGGCATGCATCTCCATCAGGAATGAAGAGAAGGAAGCATACCAGCTAGACATGAGCTATTTGCATCATGCTCGTCGTGCCACCATGGAAGATGACATAGAAGATGCAGCCGTTGAAGCCTGCATGGGTCTCCATGGCCACCGTTTTGAGGATACAAAGGAGGACCAATATCGATTCCTCCCTCGCCAACACCCTAAATTGGAGTGGGCAATGATGGATCCTTAGGGCACGAATCCAGCTACTCAAGTGATGGTGCACTTTGGCTGTGAGTTAGTAGGGAAGATTCGGTGATTGGAAGATCAGTTAAAGGCACAACAGGAGACTCTTAAGAGGTATCAACAAGTGATAGATGACCAAAGGGAGTGCCTCAGCCTACCAAGGATTTATGAGAAGCTTCCCCATAAACATCGCCCATAGGTGTTGGAGTTCCTTTCTATGTATTAAGACGTTAGTAGCTCGGGTTAAGTTGAGTCAAGTCGAGTCTAGTAGTGTGGTGTGAACTTTGGTGTGCCTAGTTGATTTATTATTATGTTTATGTGTGAGTTAGATTTTTGTAATGAGTGATAGAACCTGTTGAGCATGTCCGCAAGTTCCATAGTTAAGAATATTAAAGTTTGAGTCAATAAATAAATAGTTTGATTTGGTATAGCTTGTTCTCTTGGATCTATTTTCGGAGCAGTCTGCCTTTATGTCAATGCAAATCTAAATAAACTGGACCAAAAATTATGAAATTTTTATGGGAATAACAAGACTTAAGTATGTTTCTAATGCCACTAGAATCAGCCCTAAATCTGATCTGGTTTGTGATATATAGCTGTTTCAAGTTGAAGTTTCTATGCAGTCTAAAATCTGGAATAGTTTCGGTTGTGTCCTATTTTTTATTAACCTAACGACATAATCTCAGCATGTGATCTGAATAAAAGTTGTATATAATTGCTTAAGATTTCCAACCATATAAAGAATGCCTCTTTTGTATATCTAGAACTCGAGATATGATTGTTTTACCGAGCTGCTAATGTTGGAACTCATCTAGAAAATTTTCAGAATGTATTATATATCTCTATAAGTGTCTATAACTTAGAAATCTCCAAAATTTTGAATATTTATTTTGGATGTCAGATGTATATAAGAGGAAGAGTCCGAGGTCGTGGAGGTGTTCCCCCACATCCACCACCACCACCACCATCGACTGTTGAGCATCTTTTGGCAGTGCAAACACAGCTTATGCAAGCTCTGGTGCATAATCAACCAATTGATGGGGCACCGCATGACAAGCGTGGTGTATTCTTGAAGGGCCGCCCCCTAGTGTTTTCACATGCCACTGATCCACTAGAAGCAAATGATTGGCTTCGTGCATTGGAAAAGCAACTTAACATAGCGTAGTGCGATGACCAGCAGAAGGTGTTGTACGCGTCAGGACAACTCCAGGGAGAAGCTCAAGACTGGTGGGAGGCATTTGAGTATGGACGTCCCACTAATGCTCATACTCGTCATGCTCCTCTGACCTCCCTTACCCTTGGTTGCTCATCGCCATAGGGTCTAGATACTAAGGCTGAAGCCGGTTTAACCGCTACCGCCACCGCCACACGAGAACACATGGGCGTGCCTTGCACGTCCGCCATGGCCGTGTGCACGAGCTCATCGCCACCGACCTCAACCGACCGCCTTTAGACCGCTCTGGTGCCCATTATCATGTCGCCTAAAGCCTGAGCGTCTTTCCCAAAGATGGAGACCTACCTTCGGCCACCGTCTTGCTGGAACGATGACCTCACCACCGTGCGCTGTGCGCCGCCATGCGCGAGGCCAGAGCACGCCGTCGCTCCACCGTGACCTAGACGTAACCCTAGAACTTCGCTAGGTAACCACAAAGCTATAGCCATAGTCTCCCAAGCACGCCATAGCCGGGGATGGCTGGAGCACCGCCGCATGCCTCCGGTGAGCCGCCATTAGCTCCGCCGCCGTAGCCAACCACCGTTAGAGGTCCGATGACCTACCTAATTCTATGCAGGATGTTGAGAGGAACACGACAAAAACATACACTATTCATCCATTTCTGAAAATAGAAAAATTCCATTTTGAACTACCACTACTAGGGATGTGTACATCAATGATGCTCTTCTTTCGTCACTGAAGACTCCAAAATCGTCACATATATTATTTTATGATGAATTTGTGACGATATGGTATTCGTCATTGAATGCGCGTCATATTTTACCTACCATGACGAAACGTCTATTTTTGTCATAGATGTGCATTTGTTCTATGACGAAATGGCCGCCGTCATAGAAGTGTATTCTTTCTATGACGATCTATTTTCGTCATTGATATAGCCCCTTTTTCGTCATGACTTGCCGTCTGTTAGGCGGCCAGACGACGTCTGCCACGCTGGCGGTGACGTGTCTTGTCCACATGGCGCATCCACATTGCAGGTGACGTGTCCGACCACGTGGCAGCTGACGTGGCCAGTGATGTGGATGGTCCACATGTCCACTTTTTATTGGGCCACAAGGCTTGCTTGTGATAGATTCTCATTTTGTCATCAAGTAAATAGAAATTCGTCACAGAATCAATTACCAAATCATCACAGAAAAGGTCGATAATTCATCATAAGTGCACATGCTGATTTCATTACATAATGCAAATAATACTCGAATGACCAAAAGCTTCCATAAATTAACAGATCCAAATTCCAATGACCAACAACTTAATCAACAATTCTAAACTCGGTTCACATAACTCACTAGACATTACATTTGAACTACTAGTTTCATCTCGGTTCACATTAACATCACAGAAATAATAAAAGTTGTCAACCACCAAAGAACATAAGTTACTACATAAATAAAATCACCAAGAGACCCCTTGCTTAATGAACCAAAGAAGCTACGAAAGCAAATACTCATGTCGAAGAAGCATTGTTGATGGCCAAGATACGCTTGAGCAAACAGCGCATTGTTCTCCTCCATTGCCTTGTTGTTTATCTCTGCCGCCTTCTTGTACTCCTCCATCTCCTTTTGTGTCCTCGCCACTATTCCTCGCCTTCTTCACTTTCTTCCTGAGTTCATCGATTTCATCTTGTCTGGCTGTAGTAGCTTAGCTTCACCGCTAGTTGCTCCTGGCTTCGCTTTCATTTGATGATGATGATTTGGAGGATGGCACTGGTTTGATGCCAACACTCTTCAGGAAAAGGTTTGAGCTGTTCTGGGAGAGCACCTGGAACACAACCTGCACACTGGACACTGCTATCTCACCTTCAGCAACAGGTTCTGTCCTTAAAGCTTCCATATTTGACTGAAACAGCAATGACCCATCATTAGTTGATACTTATTGCATTAATTTGAGGAGAAAATATCACACAAGATGTATTTAAAAAATAAAAACATATACTGCATTGACAGAAACTGATGCCAAATAGGTATGTAATCATGAGTCATTTATTTGTTGTCAGGAAACTGATGCATGTAAGTGTGCCACATAGCTGCGAGAACCCGTAGCTTGATGATACTTGACTTTATGGCGATTCTGCTTGTTCTTTTCACTTGATTCCTACAAGATAATGAACATGTCAGATGAGATCATAGGTTTAAAATGAGAAGATCCTTTGGAAACTGATTGAGAAAGAATATATGACAAGATACCTATTTATCTGAAAAACAGTAAGATGGTAATTTTTCAACTCCTGCAGAGTTGTCTACTCTTTTATGCCCCTATACAACTTCTATGAAATGTACATCTCAAATTGTCTGAATGCTCACCATGAACTGCCTTTCTATTGTTCTGAATGCAGTACCATGAGTTCTTCAGGTTCAGATAAGCTAACATATATGGATCATAGCAGTTAACATATATGGATCACATAATTTCTAAACAAACTGTACTACTACTGAACTACCCCTGACACTTGTACAAAAATCTCTACTACTGAACTACCTGACGGTGCAGAGATACGACTCGAAATTTCAAAAATCTCTACTACTGAACTACCTGACGGTGCAAAGATAGTGAACTACCTGACACTTGTACAAAAAATCTCCCTCGTTGATGCTCTCGTCGGTCTTGCCATGGAGGTACCCGATGTACCGGATCTGGCAAGCCACCTACTGGTTACTTGAGCTACTGGTGCCACCATGGGAACTGATTGCATCCTTCTTTACAGAGCCCTCGCCAGCCTTTGTAGACAGCTTACTATCACCCTACAAGAATTTTCCGAAAAATTGTGATCAATATTCAGTTGCATCCTGGATGTGCAAACAGTACATGAGACTATTAACTTGTTCACAGCAACAACACTAGTTGCCCAGGAGCTTGCTTGGTAAGTCGTGCGATCCAACAAACAATAGGCAATTTAGAAAACAAACGAGACCATGTATGCACTGTTTCTTAGAACTAGCAGTCTTGTTCAGGTGTTAATGCCTACTAGTTTGCAGGTTCCTAAACTGATTATGTATTTCCTGTCAAGTGCTCTATATTTTCTAACTAAGGTGTTATAGGTTAATAACCTGATAATGTTGAGTACAATGTACACTTCTACAGTTCAGCCAAAGCAAAGTCAAATAAGTGTTGTTCTGACAGAAAAAAATAAATAAAAGTATGAAGATTGCATACCTCCATCTGCAATCATCAGCCCATCACCAGAATTGAATATGCAAAGGGCACAAAGAAACACCATGAGAGAGATGTACAAAACATTAAAATAAAGAGAGAAGATCCACATATACAACACAGTGAGGGAAAGCCATCAATGACCTCTCTGTACTTTTGTAGGTAAATCTTCAAATGCTCGACGTACTCCTCGAATCCTAACGTAGCCATCGCCCAAAGCAAATCGTCCCCGTTGATCGTCTTTCTCTTCTCCTTCTGACATTTGTCGCTGGCCCTGCAAGCAGCATCCGCGCCGTCGCCACATACATCAGAAACTGTCTCAAACTAAAAAGGAGAACACGATCCAAGGCCAAGGCTACGCTACCGGACGTCGTGTCAACTCACTCGCTGGTGACAAAGGATATGAACTCGGAGACGGCTGATGTTGGCGATGGGCAGGAACCGGTCCTGCTCCCAGTAGCCGCCGCCGCTGCCGCTGCCACCGCCCTCGTGGCTCCCGCCGTCGTCCGCCATCGCCGGCGACCGGGCGCCTCCGCCGAAACCCTAGATCCACCAAGACGAAGCCACACGGCATCGATCGCGTCAGAGCTTAGAGAGGCACCGCCGAATCGGAAGGTGGCGGGCGGCAGCAGCAGCGTCGACGCTACCAGACGTACCTTATAAAAACGCGCACGCGGGGAGGCGAGGAGGGGAGAGAAGGGGGCAGGAGCTGGCCGCAGAGGGAGGAGGAGAGGTGGGGAATGGAGATCGGACGCTGGAGAAGAGGAGGCGCTCCGGGTGGGTGCGATGGAGGAACCCGAGGTATCCGGGCCGTTCGTCGGCTGTAAATAGGGACGAGGAGGGAGTGGGCCCTGGCCCTGGGCCCGTGGTCCAGCTCCTGCCAGTGGACTTCTTCTGCAACTCATCAATTTGAAATTTGAAATTTGACAAGTTCAAATCAAATTTTAAAACCCTAAATGATTTCAGATGTAAAAGTGATGAATACAAAAGTTGTTCAAATCATCAAGATCTACAACTTTTATTTTGGTCATCTTATCATTTGACAAAATTTGAACCTTTCAAATTTGAAATTTTAAAAAATAACAAGTTCGAACCAAAATTTGAGACCCAAAATGATTTCAACATAAAAAGTGATGAATACTAAAGTTGTTCAACTCATTAATATCTACAACTTTATTTTAGTCATCTTGTCATTTGACAAAATTTGAACCTTTCAAATTTGAAATTTTAAAAAACGACAAGTTCAAACCAAAATTTGAGACCCAAATTGATTTCAACATAAAAAGTGATGAATACCAAAATTGTTCAACTCATGAATATATACAACTTTTATTTTGTTCATTTCTTCATTTGACAAATTTTTAGCACACATTTTTCACTAATCTTACACATGTCTCATATAGTTTATAAAACCTTATGAGAGATGTATCACATTTGTGAACAATGTCATTACCACTCTGTCATATGAAGAAATGACCAATACAAAAGTTGTAGATCTTGATGAGTTATTCAACTTTGGTATTTATCACTTTTTCAGCTGAAATCATTTGGGGAACCAAAATATTGTTTAAAGTTGTATTTTTTTGAAATTCAAAATTTAAATTGCTCAAACTTTTCATATGTATATATTGACAAAACCAACAAAATAATTAATAGAGAATGATTTTAGAAAAATTTTGGAAAAAAAAATCATCAGATTTGGAGTTAGTGTGAGGAAGAAAAACTAGTTATAAAATTGACCCACAGATTAAAAAAAGAAATCATACTGTTCACTAAGATCATGTAAGAATCATACAGAACAATGTGATTTCTCTTTTTAATCTGTGGGTAAACTTTGTAACTAGTTGTTCTCCCTCATACTAACTCCAAATGTGATGGTTTTTTCCTAAAAATTTCTAAAATCATGCTTCATCATTTAAGTTTGATCAAACTTGGATGTGACAATAATTTACACATTTTAAAATTTGAAATTTGACATTTAACAAGTTCAAACTAAATTTTCAAACCCTAAATGATTTCATATGCAAAAGTGATAAATACAAAGTTGTTCAACTCATCAAGATGTACAACTTTTATTTTGGTCATCTTGTCATTTGAAAAAATTTGAACCTTTCAAATTTGAAATTTTAAAAAATGACACGTTCGAACCAAAATTTGAGACCCAAAATGATTTCAACATAAAAAGTGATGAATACAAAAGTTGTTCAACTCATTAATATCTACAACTTTTATTTTAGTCATCTTGTCATTTGACAAAATTTGAACCTTTCAAATTGGAATTTTTGAAAAACAACAAGTTCGAACCAAAATTTGAGACCCAAAATGATTTCAACATAAAAAGTGATGAATACCAAAGTTATTCAACTCATTAATATCTATAACTTTTTTTTAGTCATCTTATCATTGACAAAATTTGAACCTTTAAAATTTGAAATTTTGAAAATGACAAGTTCGAACCAAAATTTGAGATCCAAATTGATTTCAACATAAAAAGCGATGAATACCAAAGTTGTTCAACTCATGAATATCTACAACTTTTATTTTGGTCATTTCTTCATTTGACAAATTCTTAGCACACATTGTTCACTAATCTTACACATGTCTCATATAGTTTATAAAACCTTATGAGAGATGTGTCACATTTGTGAACAATGTCGTTACCACTTTGTCATATTAAGAAATGACCAATACAAAAGTTGTAGATCTTGATGAGTTATTCAACTTTGGTGTTTATCACTTTTTCAGCTGAAATCATTTGGGGAACTAAAATCTTGTCTGAAGTTGCATTTTTTTGAAATTCAAAATTTAAATTGCTCAAACTTTTCATATGTATATATTGACAAAACCAACAAAATAAATTGATAGAGAATGATTTTAGAAAATTTTAGGAAAAAAAATCATCAATTATCATGTTATATGTTTACAAATAGAAAAACATGCATGCCTTTATCACAAAACGCCGAGTGCTCCAGTGGTAACGCACCAACATGTCTAGCAGCAGGTCGTGGGTTCGAATCTCCCTGCGTGCGCTATTTTTTGGCAAAAAAAAGGAGACGGAAGGATGCAGTTCACTGGACCGTGTGGGCCACGCCCCCCACTTGTTCGCCGCCACGCCCTCAGCCGAGACCACACCGGTGGGACCGCATCGCCACGCCTTTGAGGTTGGGACCCAATGGTGGGACCACATCGCCACGTCCTCGAGGTGGGACCTGCTGGTGGGACTACGGCGCCACGTCCTCAAGGTGGTACATGAGTCAAACGATCTATGACGATTTAGTTTTGTTGTTTTATGACGATTCTTTTGTTTTCGTCATTATTCTTCGTGCCAAAGCTCCATCACTTGTTACTTATGACGAAGCTGGAAATTTCGTCATAGAAAGCGCTTGTTCTGTGATGAAATTTGTAAGCGTCACAACTGAATCGTCATTGATGAACACATTTCTAGTAGTGTACACAGTCACTGACATTGGGCCCCACCTGTCATCCCTAACCTCTCGCGTTTGACCACGACGACGGCGCTGCTGACCGACGCGATAACTCGCCGCCGGTGAGACTAACGGCGACGGCGAAAGTACCAACACACTCCCCTCATCACCCCGCATCGATTGAGTGTACTTTCGAGACTAATTGCAGCGGTATACAAGCTTGACGACGGCCATGGCGGACACGACTGCATGGCGGCGCTATGCCGGCAAAACAAGGCCGATAGAGACCAAATAGAGCGCTTGGGAAGGATCAGCAGCTCACCCTGAACACGATGGAGCAAAGAGCGAGACCGGAGGAGCCACGAAGATGCTGGTCGACGGTCACAGCGAGCACAGCAGAACAATGGTCGTCGGTGGCGACGCTCCGGCGATTGCGGTGGTCAAATGGAGCAATCAACAAGATATTAAGCACCACGGCATCGAGACGAAGCTGGAGCAACCAAACACAAGGGCAGAGGTGCACCATGGAGCTCTGGCCACGGCGAAGCGCTTGCGACGGTGGTGCTGCCGGCCGCAAGGAAGAAAGCGACGCACAGTGAGTTCCCGACGAAGACAAGCGACCAGAGTTGGTTGGCTGGGTGCGCAAGGACTATGCGATGATGTGGCAAGCTTTGCTGAAGATGGGAAGGTGCTACAGCGACGGGGAAGCTCAACGGAGTTATGGCAATGGTGGCGGGAGAAAACAGAGGAGGGAGAAAAACGACGACGACGGCGTCTCGACCTTTATAACGTGGCTCAGAAGCAAGGAGAAGCCACGCCATGGCCTTCACCACGCCAGCACGACGCCGAAAGACGGCCACGCACGCGGCTGGAACCGAGACGAAGGTCGCCGGCAATGTAGCTTAAGAGGCGAGCACTGTTCAACTTAATTACAGAATTGCCATCCATTTTAAAATCCAAATTACTCCCAAATTTATATAACACCTCAAAAATCTCAAAAACAAAAGTTGTTCAAAATTCAAAGTTCTACAACTTTGCTTTTATAACTATACCCAAATTCGGTCTACATTTTGAAATGCAAATTTGAATTCAAAAAGGGGACATTTAAAGAATTACGCCTTTTCAAATTACTCCAAATTTTTCTAAACAACTTTGAAAACTCCAAAAATAAACTTTGTACAACTCAACAAGCTCTACATTTTTGCTTTAAGGCTCAACCCCAAAATGTGCTTCAATTTTGAAATGGGTTTTCCAGGTCAAAACTTAAAGGCCGAAATTAGGGTTTTCGAAAATCCCAATCCAAACAAAACTTGGAACATGATTCAAACACTACAAGGCAACACTTATAACACAAATATAAACTTGTTTTAGTGAATGCATATCAAAGTTCTCAATATGACCACATGCTTTGCAATGCATATGATGACATGTCATGTTTTAGTATTTAAAACACCCGAGGTGTTACAGTGGACATGGTGGCAGGCTGCGCTTCGACGTGCCCTGTGGATAAGACGATCAACCGGTTTGCTTGTGAGCATCACGATGCAGAGGTAAGCGCAAAACAAGAGAGAGAAAGGAGTGAGAGCAGCCGGAGTAGGCCGACCATGGCGGAGGCGAGCTCGGCGGCTGGTCGCGGCGTGAACAGCGGGCGCGGCCGTTTCCGGTGAGGCGAGGTGCTCAGGCGATGCGCAAGGGAGAGGCAAAGCTTTCTGCGTGCTCAATTCGGCCAGAGGACGAGCGGTGGAGGTGGTGTGCGCCGGCGGATGTAGGCTCGGCGGCGGCTGAGTGGAACAAGGAAGAACCAGGGTAACGTCGACCGGCTCTGGTGTCTTAAGAAGAGGAGAAGAGCATTTCGTCTTCGCCAGGAGCAGCTCGGGCTAGCCAATCGGCTGCCTACATGACGCAGCACGAGAAGGCACCGAACAGGGACGGCGGCGCTGGTATGGGCAGAGAGGGAAGAAGAGAAGGAGCTCACGGCTTGTTACTGTAGCAAAGAGCAGATTTTATTTTTCTCAAATTACTCCCAAACTGTTCATCATCTCATTTTGCTCCTTAAAGCAAACTTGTTTACTTTGATGAGCTCTTCAA